ATATAAAAACAATTAATGATATATACATCAATTGAAAGTCAAAGGAAAATTTAAGTGACTAAAAATAAATGCAAATTCGAAGTGGAAATATTTGGACATGAATGCAAAAATTCAAGTTAAAGTTTTAATAATAGAATTATCAAAAAAAAAAAAAGCGTAATGAAACTAGTGAATTTATAACATCAGATCTTTGGATTTTGCGAATTGGTCGGTAAATTAGTAAAGATAAAAGAAATCAATAAAAAAATGGAAAAATACTAAGCGAAATAAAAATAGCTCTACGCCTGAGTCTACTCCATGCCCCCAACTATACTAGAATATTATCACGGATTTACTAAACGTTTAGAAAGAAGCAGTTGTCAAATTTAATGTTGTAATTGAAAAACGTCTGCAATCAATTTTTCGAATCAGAAGTCAAAATTTTCTGTAATTGAATAAAAACCACAGATCTATCTCTACACTGAGAGAGTAGTGTGCTTGACTCTCAAAATGCTGCAGTTGTTGCAATCTGAGCTCGACCGACCTGGTAAGCGACGTCGTCTATATACAGATATAACATGCATATACACTATATAACATGATATCTTCGACAGTTACGATATGCTAAGCTAGAGCTGTGATGTGCTGCAGCCTGTCGTGCATCCAATCGGATAGATTTGGCTTCAATTTGAGGATCCCTTAACTTACTTTATCAGCGATTAGCTATACCAGGTATGTGCCTTGATTTATATACGGATTATATATCTGTCAACTTGAAATTCCCCTCTTTCAGCATCTCGGGTATTGCTGTAGCCCAGTATCTTGCACGGTGTGCAAGAGCCTCGGAAGTTACGGCTTGTCAATCTCATTGCTCAATTGTTATCTCTCGCTGACCGGAGTTGCGGATAGCTCTAACTATCCAAGCCTTATATACATATCTGGCTACGATCTCCAACACTGTGCTGCACACCCTGGCGAAGCGCATGGCCAGTCGTTACATTTACATCCTTTTCATATGCGTGTGCGGCAGATGTAGCGTTTTGAGAGTTAACCATCCCATTCTCTCAATGTAGAGATGGTTCTGTGGCATATATTCTATGACGCCCCATAGCTCTAAGTGCTCCTGCCTGTCGTCCATTGTGGATAGGACAGGTAAGCGTTGTCCCCGACTTATGTACTCATCTTTATATATATTAACATTACTTTACTTTTATAGTTGAGCTAATGCTGAGACCTCCTGCTGCAGCCTGTTGGGCATATTGATCGCTAGATTTAGCTTTAATTTGCAGGCTCAACAGCATTATTTCATTTTGTCAGCGAGTGGCTATAGAAGATATATATGTATGCATATATATTTGGATTTACTCTCCTTCAGCATTTCGGACATGATGTAGCCCAGTATCTTGCACGGTGTGCAAGAGCCTCGGAAGTTACGGCTTGTCAACCTCATCAATGAAGAACAACTTGAGGTGAGTTTTATGATTCTTGATTGGGGAGTAGTTTGGGAAGGGCTCTAAGCATGCTGTTAAGGAAGCTGTTGTAAAAGGCAGAGAATGTATCTGAGAATGGAAATGGAATCGAATTGAGTTTGATTAGATAGTATTTTTTTATTTTATTTTATTTTATTTTTTTTTTTGATTTGAATAGTCAGGTC